CAGCCGCGGCGGGGGGTGCGCGGGGAGCCCGGGGCGGGGCAGACAGGCCGGATTCTGACCACTTGGAGTCGTTCTGCGGAAGGCAGGGGGGTGACGCCAGGGTGCAAACCGTGGTCCGGGAGAAGCCAGAATCGGGCCCTTTGATCCTGGTGTAAACTGGTCATCCCCATGGCCCCCAGTGGCATTACAGCTGGGCCCAGGACTTCAGTGGAGCTGTGTTGGCTCTTACCCCATAGTCCCAGAGGGCAGCCGTGTCAGTGGGGAGCTGCAGAAACCACCAGGCGTCCCGTGGCATCGCCGGTACGTCTACACTGCGGGACGCCTCGAAACCAGCCCGAGGCAGCTTCCCCAGCGTGGACGCGCTACCTCCACTTAGAGCCCCTGGGGGCTGGGAGCAATTCGTGTGATTGGCCCTGGGGAGGGGCTAGTTCGAAACAGCAGCAGCGGAGCCTCCACACAGGCCTTTTCGAAACAGCGGTTTGGGAAGAGGCGTCGTTCCTGCTCGAGTGAGGTGACAGATTTCGGAAGACGCCGCCCGTTATTTCCAAACGATTTCGAAATAACGGAATGGCCGCGTGGAATGAGCTCACGTTGTCATCTGGAAATAACGGCGACTAACAGATTTATTAGGGCATCCATCCGCTCCTGTGGGCCAAGGCCACTTCCTCAGATGCCCTGGAGTGGGCGTTGCAGGAGCAGCAACGTAGAACCGGGCGAACCTCCCTAGTCCGGCGCTCTGCTCTGGCAACATCCAGGCTCTGGCACGATTTGAGTTAGCCAGAAGTCTGCTTATCAAGAGGGTGGCCAAGTTTCCTGTGCTCCCCTAAAGCCCCCAGGGGCCGCAGCCTCGTGTACAGCCCGTGTGAAGAGAGGCTGTTCGGCTTACAGTCCCGAGGGGACTGGACTCGCAGCGCCCAGTGGCTTGCAAAAATCCCTGCCCCGGCTTTAATGGGAACGGAGTCAAAACTCCTTCCTTTGACATCGAAAGGGCCAGATCCCTGCTCCGCTCCCACGGCCGGATTTGGCTAGGGGCTCACCCCGGCCCTCTGCACCCACATCCCCAAGTAGGTGTGGCCCAGGGTTGCTGAGATCAGTGCCCATCAGTAGGGGGCCAGAGGCAGCCTGGGCCCCCAAAGAGCTAACAAGAGAAAAACAAGATCAAGGATCTCAGCAGAGCTGGGGGCAGAAGTCAGGTTTCCTGAGTCTTAGTCCAGAGCACTACCCACTAGGCTGCAGTGTCTCGCCTGTTGGCCTCTCGCTTGCTGGGTCACCCACTGAGCAGGCTCTGACCCGCTGCCTTCTTTCCACAGGGTGCCCGTGGCAACGACGGTCTCCCTGGCCCCGCCGGCCCCCCGGTAAGTGCTCTGCGTTCAGCGCAAACGTTTCTTTCCTCTGCAGCCTTCGCCCAGGAAGCAGGGTTTGCGGAAAGCTGCCCCGTGGCGCTTTAGAGGGCTGGAAATATCGGTAAAAACGGGCCCCTGCCGGGGCAGCCTGGCCTCCCGCCCCATCGCACCCCATGCCAGGAGCGTGGCGCTGGCTGCTGTGTGTGTTGCGGTAGCGCCGCCCAGCCCCGGCTGCGCTTGGCGCTGTACAAACCCGGGGCCTGTCCCGCAGAGATCTCCTGCTCTCGATAAGGCCAAAAGCGCCACGCGCCCTCCCTCTCCCCCCAGCGGGGCATAGGGGATGGCTGGGCTCCCCTTAAATGTCTGTCAGCCCCCCAGTGGTGCGCACCATGTTCTGTGTGGTTCCCCAGCAGTGTGTGCCTGGGAGCGACACATGGAGAGCCCCCCCGCCCGCGAGCTCCCCCTCCCCTGCGAGCCCCCCCGGCCCCACCAGCTCTCTGGCCCCCAGAGCCGCGCCCGCCAGCCACCAGGGAGCAGAATCGTCCCTGCCCCACCAGCTCTCTGGCCCCCAGAGCCGCGCCCGCCAGCCACCAGGGAGCAGAATCGTCCCTGCCCCACCAGCTCTCTGGCCCCCAGAGCCGCGCCCGCCAGCCACCAGGGAGCAGAATCGTCCCTGCCCCACCAGCTCTCTGGCCCCCAGAGCCGCGCCCGCCAGCCACCAGGGAGCAGAATCGTCCCTGCCCCACCAGCTCTCTGGCCCCCAGAGCCGCGCCCGCCAGCCACCAGGGAGCAGAATCGTCCCTGCCCCACCAGCTCTCTGGCCCCCAGAGCCGCGCCCGCCAGCCACCAGGGAGCAGAATCGTCCCTGCCCCACCAGCTCTCTGGCCCCCAGAGCCGCGCCCGCCAGCCACCAGGGAGCAGAATCGTCCCTGCCCCACCAGCTCTCTGGCCCCCAGAGCCGCGCCCGCCAGCCACCAGGGAGCAGAATCGTCCCTGCCCCACCAGCTCTCTGGCCCCCAGAGCCGCGCCCGCCAGCCACCAGGGAGCAGAATCGTCCCTGCCCCACCAGCTCTCTGGCCCCCAGAGCCGCGCCCGCCAGCCACCAGGGAGCAGAATCGTCCCTGCCCCACCAGCTCTCTGGCCCCCAGAGCCGCGCCCGCCAGCCACCAGGGAGCAGAATCGTCCCTGCCCCACCAGCTCTCTGGCCCCCAGAGCCGCGCCCGCCAGCCACCAGGGAGCAGAATCGTCCCTGCCCCACCAGCTCTCTGGCCCCCAGAGCCGCGCCCGCCAGCCACCAGGGAGCAGAATCGTCCCTGCCCCACCAGCTCTCTGGCCCCCAGAGCCGCGCCCGCCAGCCACCAGGGAGCAGAATCGTCCCTGCCCCACCAGCTCTCTGGCCCCCAGAGCCGCGCCCGCCAGCCACCAGGGAGCAGAATCGTCCCTGCCCCACCAGCTCTCTGGCCCCCAGAGCCGCGCCCGCCAGCCACCAGGGAGCAGAATCGTCCCTGCCCCACCAGCTCTCTGGCCCCCAGAGCCGCGCCCGCCAGCCACCAGGGAGCAGAATCGTCCCTGCCCCACCAGCTCTCTGGCCCCCAGAGCCGCGCCCGCCAGCCACCAGGGAGCAGAATCGTCCCTGCCCCACCAGCTCTCTGGCCCCCAGAGCCGCGCCCGCCAGCCACCAGGGAGCAGAATCGTCCCTGCCCCACCAGCTCTCTGGCCCCCAGAGCCGCGCCCGCCAGCCACCAGGGAGCAGAATCGTCCCTGCCCCACCAGCTCTCTGGCCCCCAGAGCCGCGCCCGCCAGCCACCAGGGAGCAGAATCGTCCCTGCCCCACCAGCTCTCTGGCCCCCAGAGCCGCGCCCGCCAGCCACCAGGGAGCAGCCGGGAAGCAAAGCGCTTGGCTGTTCTTGGTGTTCGCTGGCCCACACGTGCCCCTGAGATCAGAGCCCCACCGTGCTGGGAGACCTGGCCTAGATGAGCCCAGTTGACATGGACCAAGAGTGGGAGGGAAAGTGAGCTGGGCAGGGTCACACAACCCAGCAGTGGCAGAGTCGGGCATTGAGGTGAGCTCTCCTGATGCCCAGGCCAGTGCCTTACCCACTAGGCCACGCTGCCTCTCCTGTGTACAGTATCTGGGTGGAGCAGCTAGCCCAGTCCCAGGGACCCTCCTGGGCCACGGTGGTTTGAACGGGGGCATTTAGCCCCCCTCCCCTGAGGGAGTTTGCCTCGTTACCCCTTTTCCTTTGCAGGGAGAAGCTGGCCCCACTGGCGCCCGGGGGCCCGAGGGGGCCCAAGGCCCTCGAGGTGAATCTGGCACTCCCGGCTCCCCCGGCCCTGCAGGAGCCTCTGCCCAGTCCCAGGGACCCTCCTGGGCCACGGTGGTTTGAACGGGGGCATTTAGCCCCCCTCCCCTGAGGGAGTTTGCCTCGTTACCCCTTTTCCTTTGCAGGGAGAAGCTGGCCCCACTGGCGCCCGGGGGCCCGAGGGGGCCCAAGGCCCTCGAGGTGAATCTGGCACTCCCGGCTCCCCCGGCCCTGCAGGAGCCTCTGTCTTGTCTTTCCCCCCCAGCCTTCCGGGGGGAGGGCAGGAATCCAAGGGCAGGCAGAGGGCCCACCCAGGTGATGCGTTACCTGAAGAATCCCAGGGACCCCGCCTGTTCAATGCCTCCAAGCACAACCCTCTTTTGGCATCACGCCCCCGCCCCCACCCGGGGCTACGGGGAGTAGTAACCTGGTTCTGCCAGTGGGGAAACTGAGGCACGCAGGACTTGAGGGTCCAGATCCCCAAAGATCATTCGGCCTCTAATGTCCACTGAACTCAAGGGGATTTAGGGGCCTGAATACCCCGGGGGACCTGGGCCCAGCTGACTGGCACACAGTGACACAGGAAGGGCAGCATTGCACTATCCACTAGGCTGTACTGCCTCCT